CTGGGCAGGGAACCGCCAGGCACCCTCACAGCTGAGTTTTGGGGGGCTGCTTATCAAAAGCGGGGCCGCTAGCGGGGTTCTGTGGCGCGTACAGTGCTTGGGGGGGGAGATTTCTATCCTGGGATTTCAACTTTTTCAGCACCCCAGAGTGGTGGGAGATGGCATCTCCCCTCCCTGGGAGAGGTGCAGGGCTCGTGGGGTGCGGGTGGGAGGAAAAGGACGCAGCAGCCTTGGGCTGTTCCTACCCATCCTCTGGGATTTTTCCAGAAGGAAACAGGAACCATGTTTTTCAAGCAGCCAGTGTCCGGCATTGTTGGCTCGATCCATAGCCTATTCAGTGTCCCAGTGGCATTATTCTTGGACATTTCCCTCTATCCTGCCAGCTTTGCCCATGCTGTAAGAAATCCCATTCCTGGCCACAGCACCCCTGTTCCAAACCAAGTGTCCCACAAAACCATGCAGGAGCATCGTGGACCTTTTGAGAATATGACCTTAATGGTCGAATACACACACTCGGGTTTCTCACACACTTACGGATGAATTCCATGTCTCCTTGCAGGTAATCTCAGCTCTCCACAAGGCATCTGGGGCATCCAATACAGCAAGGCTCGCATCCAGGATGCTGAGCAGCAACCTCCATGGTAGATGCAGGTCTACGGAAGACAGAGAGGATGGCAGTGTCTTCCTCTGCCCCTTCCTCAGAGCAATAACATCACCCCGCAACTCAGCAGCACGACCACCTGCCCAGACATACGTACCCCCACGGGGAAGGGCTCCAGCAGCACCAAGGGCTCCCTCCCTTCCTCATCGCCATGGCAAAACGGGCACCGGCTGTCCTTCAGGGATGGGTCCCCTCTCCTCTCCCTGCTGGGCCATCCCCGCCTCGCCCCCTGCCTCAGGAGGCGGCCAGGCCCTTGAGGAGAGGCAGGGACATGGCGGGATGGTGGCAGGCGGCGAGGGAGGCCCTGGCCCTGTGGGCTGGAAGGGTCCCTAGGCCCCAGCCCTGCCTTCCTGGAAGGTGGCTGAGGAGGGGAGCCCAGGAAAGGGTGAAGCCTGAGCAGGAGGGCGGCGGCCGAGGACTACGAGGCGGTGGGGGAGGAGAAGGAGCCGCCCTGACACCTTCTCCTCAGAGCTGACCTCCCCAACATGGCGGCCTCGCCCGCCCGTCTCTTCCAACATGGCGGCGGTGTGGTG